CGCCACGCCGCCAACGTCCGCGAGAGGAAGAGGATGCTCAGCATCAACTCGGCCTTCGACCAGCTCCGCTGCCACGTACCCACCTTCCCGTACGAGAAGCGCCTCTCCAAAATCGACACGCTGCGGCTGGCCATCGCCTACATCGCGCTCCTTGGCGAGATCCTCCTCTCCGGATGTGATCCCAAATCCTACGTGGAGCAGAGCCTGAAGAACGGTTTGCAAAGCCAACAGCGGGCGACCTGGAAGACAAGCGGTGAGTGAATGAAGGGTTGTGTTTTCGGGGATTGCAGCAATGCTTAGGGTTGCCAGTGGGAATGAATTAGTTCAACTGCTTTGAACATCCACTTGTCACATTCAAATGGCTGTGACAACATACGACTCCATCTTAAAAAAGGAGTAGCTAAGTAATGTCTCAAAATAATCCAACCTGGTCTTCTAAGGATCATTTCCTGAAAATAAAAAAAAGGGAGGAAAACAGAAAAATTTACTAAGCTCATAGGAATGATTCCTTCTACAAATAAGATTAAAGATTCTGTTTATTCTCAGAATCCATTTCTAGATTTTTCTTCTCATTGTTGATTCTGTGCAAAGTTGTCCTTTCATAATGCAAGTTGATGGAGCCTGTAAAGACTTTATCTTCTTGATAAGTTTCCTTTAGCTTGTACCTGACTGACAAAAACACCTGGCTTTCAATATAAGCATAATCTCATTTCTTAAAATACATACATTCAAGTAACTGAGAGCTCAAGAGTTTCTCAGAGATATTACAGTTTAACACTGAAAACCAGGATACACGAGACAGTGCACTCAAATTTCATGTTAGTTTCAAAGTACAGAGGAGAAAATACCTATTTGCAACTAACATACTTACATAGTTATTTTTATTATAAAGCGAAGGACTGTTACTGTGTTTTCTATTTGGCTTGTACTTAATCCTGATTTATCTGGGATTAAACATTGTGCTTGCTACCATCAGAATATATTGCTTCATCAGCCCACCATATGGTGAAGGTGGGAAATTGCCCAAGTGCTCAACACAGGGCCTCAAGTCTCAGATAGAAAGCAATAGGGTTTGTGTTACTTAGCAGTTCAGGGAGGAGCAGAGGGGGATTTTCAGTAGTTTCTGGCACTTCGCTTTATAAGGTAATTAACCCTCTTTCCAACTTTATCCCTTTGCAGTATAAGTTCCTTTGGATTCTGCCTCTTTTCGGAAATGGGCCTTGAAACATACCAGCCTTCAAAAAGCGCAGCATACGTAAAGTAATTCTAAAGAATATTCCCTTTTCATTTCACAGGGAAGTGTCAAAGTGACAAAGCCTACAGGGAAAAAGCAATCAGTTTACTTTAAAGGAGAAGTTAATTAAGTCTTTCCTCCTTTCCTATTAATTTCCATTGACTACATGACTGGGAAAATGAATCTTAAATACAGAACATCTATATTTTATTTTCCAGCTGTCCCCACCTTTCATAGATAAACAGGTTTTAAAACAACACAGATGGATCTCATAGGTATCACCTCTTCTGTCAGGCTCCTAGTTAACTAATATTTCTGAAGAGCTCCACTTGGAAAGATCTAAATGAATGAGGCAGCTTTTCTGGAGAGGTTGAATAGTTGACTTGTTAAACACTAATCTAAATGTTTTCAAATTCATGTGGTATGTCTTTATTTTGCTTTCCCCTCTCCCTTCTGTTCTGTGCAGATCTGACAGCCCGCCTATCTTGGGTAAAGTGGGATTAAGCAGTACCCAAAAGAAAGATCTTTAAAGGCAGCATATTGCAAACCCTGATGACCTGACTGCTGGGTACCAGCTGTTAAATTCTCAGTACTGCAAGCAAAAGTGTCACACTTACAACTTTCCTTATTGTCACAGGTTGCTTTCTCTCCACACATCCAGCCTCTTCTGGTGTTAATTCATTGCTTCGTGGGACCTTCTGCTTCTCTTTCTTCTCGTTTCTCACACACTAATGGACTGTTCTTGCATGACAATAAGAAAACAGATTAAAAATCTGTATCATTATAATCACAGCAACAACATTTTCTCTTCCACTGAATGAGAACAGTGTCTAAATCACGTTTCCAGTGCATGGGAAAACATATCCCTGATCGCAAGAAGAAAATAAGCACCACCTGTTACAACCTATGTTTTGGCTTAAAAATGTCCAGGGCCATAACTGTAAAAGTCACTGGTGATTTAGAGCACAGAGACCATGAAACACACAGTTTTCAGGAGGTGAGGCACAGGTCTTTCTGTCTGTGTCTCCAAAATTTCTCATGCCTTCCTCCCAACATGACAACTTTGGGAGGTCTGAGCCCAAGGCATTTTGGTATGATAAGGGTGACAACTGCTAGCACTTGGGCACCATCTCCTCTCTATGCCCCTTGAACACACTAGCTTGAATGCTCATGCCAAGACAGCAGCTGGCTTTTGGCATTTTTACAATAATGTTTCTGGCTTGTGATTTTTTGAGCAAATGCCAGCAACCTGCTGTTGCTCCAGCAACTGCCAAGAAAGGTTTTGATAAACTCTTCTAACATGAAATGCCACTGACATTCCCCCTGCAATAAAATAGTGTGTTCACTCTTGGAAAATGTTTACCAAAGTTTTTTTCACAGAATACGCAGCCATCCTATTCTGCAGCCCATGGTAATAAGGCTTTTCATATTAGTAAAAATAAAAACGTGAAGAAAAGCCTGTAGCTGTTTCTGACATAATTCTCCCATTTTACCCAAGTGCACCCTAAAGCAAACATTGTGTTTGTCTGTTGAATGTATTTTTCCCTGCCAGTACTATACTGTAAAGGCTCTGAATCGATTTTTTTGGTAAAGAGCTATCACACATCTTGCACACTTCTCTAACACCCTGCCAGTGCTCTCAGATATCTGAAACCATTCTGCCTTAATGTACTCTATCATGACATTCCTTAGCAGGTAGGATGCTAGATCTAGATAAAAGAGAACGTATTTGTTTTAACATACTGATTAGTTCTTCTTATGGTTTTGATCTCTACAAAGCAAAGCCACGTCAGGAACTGTTGGTTTTTGAGGAAAGCAAAAATGACGTCTTTGAGAGGAAGACTGAAAAGAACCTTTTACCTTTTCAATTTTTCTGTCAAAAGAAAAGAAGGAATTTAATCTCAGATATGACAATGCATTTCAGACAACTTAGAATAAAATGTTTCATCTCAAACTTCTGACTCTCTCTGCTTTTTAACCCACTTAAAATGCTTGGATATATTTTTACAGGAAATAGTACCTGAAAAGGTGAAAACCTCATCTGAGTGTGCAATTTTCTACTTTTACCTACTTCTCTACTCATTTTGGTTAAAAAACAAAACCCCAACAAAACAAAACAAACAAACAAAAAACCAACAAAAATCACAAACCCACCATAAAAGCACCTATTGGATTTGACTTGAATAAATAATATAAGTCTCAAAAATCTCTAAAATATGAAAACATTGTGTTTTCCAAATCTGTCACTCTCCTTTGCTAGAAACACAGCAGGTCCTGCACACACAGACCTGGCTGGGAAATCAGGGCTGGTGTTCCTGTTTCTACCTTATCTTCACAACTTGGGCATGTCACTGATGTGTTAGTCCATTCTTCTCTGGCTCCTCTGTTGACCTGACAGTCCCTCCAAGCCCACAGATGCTTTGCTGTATGCTCTTGGGCAATGCATTGCACACAGGAACCCACTTGGGGCCTCTAGTTGAGTTGCAATGCTGGCAATAGTGAAGCCACCGTTTTCCTGCAAAGTGCTCCTCATGGGGCCACACAATGGGGTACAGCGTATCAATGCAGCCGTCCTGATGCTCTGCTTGATCTTTCGGATATGAGTCCGCATTCCTATATTATCATCCTGCTCACCTCACTGTCTGAGTTTAGCAAGGCTCAGTGGTGGAGAGGGTGAGAGGTACTTTAAATCCCTGATGACTACTCACTTCCATGAAAGCAATATGAGGAGACCCACAAGCCTTGAGAGGCTGCTGTGCAAGACCAGAAGGACAAATGATGTACGTAGAGGGTCTCCACACTCTATTCCTCCTGGCCAACTGCTCACCAGTAGCCTTTGTACACATGGAAGGGTGGGAAAATAATATGATCCAGGTTTGCCTAGCAGGGAGACAGAAACAGGAAACTGGCGTTTTTCCAGGAAAGTAGGTGTGATGGCAGCCAGAGGATGACACTGCTCTGAGGGAGATGCACCTTAATCTTTACTTCAAAGAGTAGGGCTTATAGAGCCATGAATTCTTAAATAGCAAACTCTTAAATAGCAGAACAGAAGCAAATAGAAAGAGGCTTTCTCCATTTCTTTCCAGAGGGACTGCTTGACCCCTTGTAAAGGAACACAATACAATAACCAAGAAAAAGCCACCCTAACAGTCTCCCTCCCAGTGTTGATCCTCTGTGTCACTGAAGGTGACAGAAGTGTCACAGGTTTAGCAGTGATGGGAGGTCAGAGATGCCTTTCCAGGATCCCCAAGCACCTGTCTTGGACCTAAAGGAAATGAAACTATCCAGCCCACTGCCTCCAAGCTCCGCAGCATACTTGGGAGCAGTGGTCACGTCACCACCTTCCTGGCAAGATTAAGGCAAGCTCAGCCTCATCAGCAGGACTATAGACATACACCCGGGGTTCAGACACCTTCATACCTATTTCAGAGTCACACTCAGTAACCCAAGACCCACATGCTCACTGAGACACACAGGGGCAGGAATAGCCACAGGCCATTTTTCTATTTTTCTAAAGACAGACAAGACTTTCCACAGCAGACCAAGGGTAGCAGGCTGTCCTGATGCCACAGCCCCCAGGCACCCTTGGCCAGAGGAAGCTCTTTCAACAGCCCACAGCATGATGCTCAGCCACCTATGCAGTCTGGTTGCCAGCCTGCATCTCTGCACCAAAGGTAAATGCAAAGATCTGCAAGTGGCCATCTCCTGAGATAACACTACCATCCTGGGCCTGCAAAAATGACAGGATCTGTGACAACAAGTGAAGGAGAGGGCTGAATCAAGCCAGCTATTTGCAAAGTGTCCAATTAAACCCAACAGGGCTTTTTGCAAGTTTTCATCAGGATGTGTATTTCTCCAAGGTCCTTACTTGTGGCAACAGGGATCTGTGACTCATCCCTCCAAGATGCTTTCAGACAGACCCCACAGGTCACACACACACATCAGGGAGCAATAACTGCCTCTAGGGTTGTCACCAATGGTGGTGGAATAGCCTCCAATTGGGAACATATCTGGTATGGAAGGTCCT